AAATCCCTAAGGGGGGGGGTCTAATTTTAAGCGAATAGAGCAATCAAAATTTTAGAATATATATTTTTTCTAGTTTTGTCAATATATTTTTTTTCAATTTGATAAACCAATTTAGTATAATCCACTGACTTTCTACACCATTGTATAATTTTCTTGTCACACCACCTGCTAAAATGGATTTTTTTTTGGCGGTGCATTAATTAATTTTGCTGGAACATTCTGTGCTACTTGCACAGCAACCGGTATCGAAGTCTGATGCATAAAAACGTTAGAAAAAACCAAATAGCGCTAACTACAACAATGATTCAGAGTCCATTTTTTTAATAGAGATCGAGCCAAAAAGAAGATTTGTAGAGAGAACCTTCCAGAAAAATAAAAGATATAACACTTGTTTCTACAGAAATATTGCCTGTTATAAAACTCATTTGCTCATCTTCCTCAATTCGTCTTCGAAATTTAACCTGAATTCGCAAGTATAATGTTATAATCAGAACCAAAACAGGAATATTGAACAAAAGGTAGAAGGAAAGCGCAATGTATTTATAAAGATGGTCGACAAAACTAACAAATTGGTCCTTGAAAATGCAACTTGTCATTGTTTGTCCTAAAGATATTAAAAGACATATCACAAGAATCGTGACTGAGTATATTTTTATTTTGTATTCTGAGAAGAAAAGGTCATACAAAACTGGCCGACAAATGGCGTAAAATCTGTTCGCAGCGAGCAGTAAAATCATGAGAAGTAGACCATATTGATAAAATGGTCCAAAAATTTTACCAACAACGCAATTTAATTGCTTTTCGTAGGGCGGCAGTAAATGTATAAAGGCAGTGGAAAATAACCCAAAACAACAAAACAGATCGAAAATGGATAGACTCCAAATCGAGACAAGCATGGTAGATGGGTCCCTAAAATATAAATATGTTTTTCCATGCACTATTATGACACTGATGAAGAGAAATTTGCGTGTTTGTTAACTTGAGTTTGATTATATAACATGATTTGGAGGGAACATTAATCTTAGTTTATTTTCTTTAAAAAAAACTGGTTTTGTAAACTTCATGTTCCGATACCTTGCCAATGAAGCTTTTTTTCCAAAAAAATTATAAACAATTTTAGAATGTTTTTTGTTCTTTCATTTTTTTTTTCATTTTTCCGAGTCATTTTGTTTGAATTCATAATTGTCTTCTGTAGGGACCTGACTACCATGATTGTACCTCAAAATCAGTGCTTCTATTGGCGTGCGAGATCCAAATTGTCTGTAAAGATAAGAGAAAGCAACGTAGGATTGAATGATGCAACCGATGGCTCCGATGACGAGCCAGAAGATCTGAATGGAGTACAGAATAGAACACTGGAACTCAGTCTTGGACGAAGTTGGCAGAGCTGGACCACAGCCAAGGTGCTTCAAGTAATCCGAGTAATACATAGTTAACGCTGTTTATTGTTATGAAACCGAAACTTGAAAAAAAATTATCTCTCTTATTAAAAACCGAAGTCTGAAAAACCCCTTTTTCATGTAGAGCTCTCAAAGTTTCCAAAGATTTGGGTAATATTCAAAATAATTTCCAGAACAAAGTTTATTATCAGTTCGCGTATGCTTAAGCTTTCTGGGTTATAAATTGATGTCAGTTTTTTTGAAATTTCCGTTCCCAAAATTTTTGAGGCTCCAATTTAAGAAGATAAGTTTAATTATTGTTCAGTTGATCCAACAATTTGAACCAACAATTTCTATGAATAAGAGATGAGGCCAAACAAGTAAAGTTACAATTTAGTGCGCTTATGTAGTTACTTAACCGATGACGAAATCATAATACCAATAAAGAAATTGTGATCTGTTTTCGTAGTCAATAAATGTCATTGGATTTGTCTATTTTGAATGTTGCAATGAAACACTAGCAAAACAGTTAGTCAGAAGCTCTCATGTTTCTTTAATTAGACTAATCCGTCAAAAATGGTCTATCTTGAAACCGGTAATATCGAACGTGATATCGAATAAAGTATGTTTGAGTCAGCACGTCAAGTAAAAAAGAATAGTAAAAAACCTCAAAATATATTTAAAACCCCTTAATACTTGAAGTAAAACTGCGCTTGTGGATCTTGTTGTTCCGACTTTCGTAACGAAAGTAACGGAACATTTGTGCTCGGGGTGAGTTTATTTTCTTCGGACAAATGTCAACTTTTTAACTAGCCATTTTTGACGGAATTTTTTTATATCATTCAAAAGGTATATTTGTCATGAGCTTAAATTTGAAAAGATATTTTATCTGAGATCATTTTTTGTTAAGTTATTGAGTTTTAAAGATTGCTATTAACGCGTAAACGGAGATTCAATCCTTCCGTCTTAGAAATCGTTCCAAATTGGTTGAAGGAAGTTTATTTGCCATAACTGATTTGTTACTAGGAGCGAAATCTATCAATTTGTACATTTTATGTTGTGTGGGTGGATGATTTTCACAAAAAAAATCAAATTTGAAAAAAAAATTCATTTTATTTCATAACTTTTAGTTTTTTCATGTTATAACTGCTCCATAAACCTTAAAAGACAGTTGGAACATTCAGGTCTTCGCAGTCTTTTAACTATTTTCCCTGTAACGAATCTCTCCCTAAAGAAAGAATTGAACAGTCAAGCATATACGAATTTTGTACCTTGTTAACTATTTTCTCCCCTATTGCAATATGGGGAAAATAGCTAACAAAATTCTGAGTAAGCATTAACTTACCAAAATTTACCTTATAACTTTACCTATAGTCTCCATAAAAATAAAAGTGTATCAACTTTTAAAAAATTTTTGTAAAAATTGTTGCACAGATAATTATAAGTAATATTCAAAAAGTAATTTATCTATATGTTCTTTAGGATTAAAGTCATCTTACCTGGAAAAACATCCCTATAAGTGGCAAAGTGGCAAAAAAAACAGCATGAACATACTTGATTTGTTATGGCACTTCACATTTTCAAGTTTTTTCACTTACTTTCAAACTGTTTCTGAATGTTTGCGAATTTGAGATATTCGCTTATTATCTCCTTAAGTAATTTTTCCGAAGTTTTTATATTTCAAAAAAAAACTTTAAAAAAAACCGTTTTTATGTCAAATTTTATCGTTAAAAATTGTAAACAAAGTGCTTTGGTTCCGTTATGAGTGTGATTGAAGGTGTAACTAGCTATTTTTGCGACAAACAAGACAACAACTTGAAGGTCTGTACCATGTCAGTCCCACATTAAGCTATTGGGGCTCCTGATTGTAGTTGTTGTAACATGGATCAATTTCGCTGGGGCAGAGAAGGCTGTGTATGTGTGTGTTTGTGATTTTCGCAAGATATCAACTCACAGAATGAATTATTAAATGAGTTTTGGTTGATCCTTGAAGCTGTACCGGAGTGAACAATGATAAAATGGTTTTATGAGGAGATCATACATCATTGGTCACTTTCAAAGTTTGTATATTCAATTTTTCACCTCATACAATTTTTTATATGAGGTCAATTTGTGATTTTGTCGCAGCCGGAAACGTCGGTTGTTTTCTCTGTGACACTGAAAAATACTGGAGGGAAGTCCAACAAAATGTTTTTCTACGGATTTTCGGAATGTCTTTGAATTTGAAATATTCGATTTTTGATGCTTGTTGCGGCAGTTTCAGACTGATAAATTTTACCAGGCAGTTTTGCCAAAGTGGGCTTATGTTCAAAAAACCGACTAAAAGTTTTATCGAATGAGGACTAAGAATAAATTTTTGAGACCTTATGTCAAGGTTAACTTTTAAAGAAAAAATATTTTGAGCTCTTTCCAATGTCTAGAAAAAAT